GCAGGTCTCGCCAAGTTGCTCAGGCGGGTCTCGAACCCGCGGGCTCAGGCAATCCACTCACCTCAGCCTCCCAAAGGTGCGGGATTACAGGCTGAGCTACCAAGCCCGACTCTGGCTAATTTTTTGATTTATTGTGAAGGCAAGGTCTTGCCAAGTTGTCCAGACTGGTCTCAAACCCCTGGGTTTAGGCAGTCCTCTCATGTCTGACGACCCCACCCCCCTCAACTTTTCTTTCTGCTTTTTTTTTTTAGGCTCATCCATTCTTTAGACACATTAACTGGGAAGAACTTCTGGCACGGAAGGTGGAGCCCCCATTTAAGCCTCTGTTGGTATGTATACATGAACACATATAATCTGAGGGACCTGTACTTTATTTTGAGTCAGAGTCTTACTCTGTCGCCCAGGCTGGAGTGCAGTGGCACGCTCACAGCCACAGCAGCCTTGACTGCTAGGCTCAGAATCCTTCCGCCTCAGCCTTCCAAGTAGCTGGAACTACAGGCACATGCCACCACACCTGGCTGATTTTTTTAATTTATTGTAGAGAGGAGGTCTCACCAAGTTGCCCAGGCTGGTCTTGAACCCATGGGCTCAGGCAGTCCTCTTACCTTGGCCTTCCAAAGTGATGGGATTATAGGTGTGAGCCACCATGCCCGGCTTGGACCTGTACTTTTTTAGAATAAGAAAAATCTCAGTGTAGTCAGAAACATTATTTTATTAACAGTTCAGAAAACTTTGATCTATCCTCTCTTCAGCATTTTGTATGTTTTCAAGAATTAATGCCAATGGCAATTGATGACTATATTAGCTATTTTTAAGTTAATTACCTAAGATAAATAATTCAAGTAATTGAGGACTTTCTGTTTTTTGGATTTGCTTTGCTTTGCTTAATTCAACCCATTTTAAATTTGATTCTCTGGAAACTTTTTCTTTAAAATATAGAATAAGCCAGGCTTGGTGGCTCAGCCTGTAATCCCGTGCCTTTGGAAGGCTGAGGTGAGTGAATTGCCTGAGCCTGCGGGTTCGAGACCCGCCTGGGCAGCGAGAC